CAGGTCTGAGCCAGGAGACACAGAGGATGGGAAGGCGACGTTTCCTGCTTGCTGCTCTCGTCAGCTTCCTCCTCAGCATAACTGAAAAACATCCCCCTTCTCACCCACCTCCCCTGTGAGCCCCTGGGCCCTGTCCACTTACAACTCGCAGCGTTCCTGAGGATGGCCCGGGGTCAGGCTCTCTCAGGGCTCCTCAGCTGGAGTTGCTGCTGGCCCTGTGGCTTTCTGCTCCTCCACGGTGGCAGAGACGTCAGTCTGATGCTGCTCACGGTTTAGGGGCTCCAGGAAACTGCTTGTTTGAGACCAGGGGCCCTTAAATTTTAAGGGCTTAATAAGTGATGACTTCTGTTCATGAGGAGTCTGAATCTTTTGATCTGAGAAAGAAGTCATTTCCATGTGGATCAATGGCGTCAGCCTGGCCACCCACACCAGCCCGGAAACTCTGGGTCAGAGAGGGAGTGATGGTAGACGGCAGTGTCTCCTCCCCACCTCCACTTTACTCCATCTGGTAGATCAAGACAGAGCACATTCATTGGACACAGTGCTAAGACCCGCCTTTCTCTCCCATAGGCCATCCCTTATCATGTCTCTTGGAGGACGCCCTTTCTGACATGGCTCTCAATAGCCTCTGCCTTCCTCCCTTAGTTCTTGTGCAATCCCTTCTTCTTAAGTGTGGGCTGGACTTAGTTTGTAATAAACAGAATTCATTGTGAAAATGCTACACTGCCACTCCTGTTCCATTCACAGGAGAGAGGAACTCCCGTCTTACTGATGTTCTCGCTAGTGCCCTCCTAGCGGGTGCACTTAGGTGAAGTGAGCAGTCATTTCGGAAAGGCCCACATGGGGAGGAACTGAGGGCAGCCTCCAGCCAAGAGCCGGTGAGGAATGGGGGCTCTCGGTGGAACGGCTCACAAAGAATTGAATCCTGTCAACAATCATGTGAGCGAGCTTAGAAGTGGAGACCATAGCCCCATCGATTGCAGCTTCTGAGGGTCCACACACGGTGCCTGGAGTCCTGACCCACCTACAGAAGCTGTGAGCTCATAAATGTATTTTGTTTGGGCTAATCTGTTCACAGAGATCAATAAGTAATTTGTTAACGGAGATCAACCACCCACACAATACCTAGGAACTCACCACGTGATCCAAGCCACCTGAGCATTTGCTAGGCTCTGTCCTCTATGCATTTTTTTGCCTCTTGGACCTTGGGAGGAAGTGTGACTGTTTGAAAACAGAACAGAATGTTCTTGAATCTCTTGTTCAAATGCCACTTCATTCTTACCCTGACATCTGGCCCAATTTGGGAGGCCACACACCAGGGAGAAGAGCATTTATGAGACAAGATCCACAGTGGATAGTGTGGTTCAATCATCGAGCCAGGACTCTAGAGCCCAAACCTCTTTTGTTTGGGAAATTAGAATTCACGTTGGGAGCCTGTACTGTTTGTCTAGGAAGTGGTGAGCAGCAGAATCCCATGTAGGTCAAAGCAATTTAACCTCAAAACCAGGAAAGATACAGGACCTGAGACAGTTGGCTTTGGGCTTTTAGATTTGGTCCCCATTCATCTTGCTTTGCAGTCCTCCCGGACTTCTCCAGCATCTTAGCTATGTGGGGTTAGAAAAAGAACCATGGCAGGAACAACACCCGAAGGTTTAAGCATTTTGTCCTTCTTGGTTTGAAGAGCCTACACGTCAGCTCTCTCGTTGGCTCTGGTTGTCCAGCTGACAAGCCTGAACTCTGGCGCTGGGTCTTTGTATGTTGAATTTGAAGAGACAAGTAAGACTACCACCTTCCGGTCACCCTGTGGCCTGCCCATGGGAAGCCCAGAAAGTTCCTGACAATTTCTTGGTCTTCTGTCTTATTTCTTTAATGCCCCCCAAGTTCATGAACAGGTCCACTGATGAACTGTGCAGTGGATGCAAAATGGCCACACATTTTCCTACCTGTGCCCATTCGCCTCTGCAGGGTGTTTCTGCAGTGCCCCGTCCACAAGGGGAACCTGTGTCTGGAGTTTGGCTTATGGGAAAAGCAGCAAACATGACAGAGCAGAAGCATGAAAAGTGCCCGGGCACTAGGCCTTGCTTCTCATTGCTATTCTTTGGGCGTCCTTAAAACCACCAGCTGAAGACCTCGCTGGAACACACAAGAGCATTCGGGACAAAAACCAGTCCTTCCAACTGAGCTTCCCCGAGGTCAGCCGGCGTGTCAGACACGTCACATGTGAATGTGGCCGGCCTAGGCCATCTATCACCACTGACCTGCCAGCTGACTGCGGAGACACAGCAAGTCCATCACAGACACGCTGGGGTGGCCAGACCTGAAAAACCACCACTGTGATTAAATACATGGTGCTTTTAAAAGACACTCAGGGTGGAGGTGGCTGTCACTCAGTATAGATGACTGACAGACTTCTATTGTGTGTATGTTTCTACCAACGCATCTTCTTGGTGGATTTTGAGTCCCTAAAGCCAAAGGACTATGACTCATCAGAAGTTCACATTTAGGCCCCTGTGTGGTATCTTCGCAATGAAACAATGGTGACCTGTGACCTGTGAGGACCCAGCGAGCCAGTAGGAAAACTGATTCTCAGTATTGAGAATCTTCAGGGCAGCCCCAAATTCCCATCTGGAGAGAACCCACCATGGTCTTCCTGAGCATACACCCACCTTGTTCCAAGAACAGCTTCCAGTTTTCATTCAGAGAGCTGTCCCCGCCCACCCTCCATCCCTGTGGTGTGGGTGGCACACCACCCAGTTCCAGAGGTGCCGCTCAAGGTGTGTGTGGAAGGCAGTCACTAAGCCGACACCCAGAGGCCCCACCCGGACTGCTGCCCTCATGGAATCCCCTCCCCTTCAATGGGGGCGGGGTTTCTTTTTTAAATTTTTTTATTGATTTTTTACAGAGAGGAAGGGAGAGAGATAGAGAGCTAGAAACATCGATGAGAGAGAAACATCGATCAGCTGCCTCCTGTACACCCCTTACTGGGGATGTGCCTGCAACCAAGGTACATGCCCTTGACTGGAATCGAACCCGGGACACTTCAGTCCGCAGGCCAATGCTCTATCCACTGAGCCAAACTGGTCAGGGCAAGGGCGGGGTTTCTTGACTTGCTTCTAAAGAACAGAAAACAGCAATAAGATGAGGCAACTTCTGAGATGAATGGCTTCTGGATTAGGCGCTCTCACTTGCATCATTCACACCCGGGAAGCCAGTGGCCATGGCCAGAGGCACCCATGGAGGTGCTCTCTGTTGAGGAACTGAGGCTGCCAAAGGCCATGTATGTGAGCATGGACATAAGTCCCACCTCCCCCCAGTTGACCCTTCATGTGTGACTGCAATCCTGGCCGACGGCTTGACTGCACCCTCAAAGACAAGCATTACACCAGCTAAGCCACACCCACTTTCCCGCTCACAGACCCTGAGAGGTAAGAAATATTTGTTTCAAAATTTTGGAATAATTTGTTACACAGTAATATATACTTAGGTCTGGCCAATCAAAGCCCCTCACCTGCTTCCCCTCTCTACCCAGGCACAGTGCTGGCCAGGCTGAGCCAATCAGAGTAAAGTGCAGAGCTTTATAGGAGTGGTCCCAGGAGAGGCTGGGAATTCTGCAGTCTCCTCCCCGTGAATGGACAGTCCTATACTATCTTGTCACTTTCTCCCCAGCACCCAGAACTAGGCCGGGCTCAGAGCAAGTGCTCAATATTTGTGAAATGACAGACAGGTTTATATCCAGCAAAGGAGGAAAATATGAGGGGCTGGCATGAAATGGGGAGACAGGCGCTTGGGCATGAAATGAGGGGCTGGCATGAAGTGGGTAGCACGGAACCTCTTCTATAATATTATCTTAAATGGAACGTGTCATCCAACATCGATAGAGAGCCATGTGTTTTGTTTTCTAAATGTGATGCATTAGAGCACAGTTTCTTCTTGAAGTTGGCTTTACTCAATTTTAATTGGCAGCGTTTCTAAAATTCCGAGGATCAATAGATCCGCTGTCTCCTCAATGCTGCATTGCCGGGCGTCTTCCAGGGAGATGAATAAACTCCGTGGAGTCACAACGTACTTGGTGGGTCCCGTTTGTCCTTTGCTGCTACCCACAGGCCTTGGCCGCTCCGAGGCACGTGCCGTAGGCTGCATTACCGATCTTTCCACAAGAAGCCTAAGCGTGACTTCCTTCAGAGGAGGCAGCCGGCGATACCGCGATGCATCGACGTGCACGCTGCTGCCAGGGAGACGGCTCCTTCCCAAGCCAGCAGCGTTTAGAAGAGCCCGCCCTGCCTGGCCCCGTCTCTGGCCTCCTTGGACAGGAGGGAAGGACATGTGCCCCGTGGTGGTGTTTTTGTTGCTGTTTGTTTGTTTTTTTTGCAGATGCTAAGTTAGGAGACAATAGGGAAAGGTAAGCAGTTTTACAATGTCATCCTCATAGACCACAGAGAAGTGATGTCGCTATGTTGCCAGCAGCCTCCGTGCTGACTCTGTCACGGCTAGAATGACATTTTTGTTGTCTATTTTGTGCTTGAGGATTTAATGCACAAAAACCACACCGACTGGGTGACTGAGCAGATACTCTGATTATGGGCATGGGAAAAATTGAGGTCACTAAGCTTGTGACTCTCAAATGTCTCACCTGCAGATGGCTACCGCAGCCAGGTAGGTAGATAAAAAATATAGACAATAGGGCATGGTGGAGACTGCGGCAAAATGAGAGCACACATTGCTCTTAAAGGAGACAGCCATGAGTCAGTTCTGTCAAATTATTTCCACATGGGAACCAAGGCCCAGCACTGCCAGTCTTTTGATTTTTTTCAAGTGACTCTGAAAGCCCAGACACTTACATAAAATACCACATTTAAAAAAAATGTTGACAATGCCGTCAATTAAATAAAATTTTGTGCATGTGGTGCAAAGCTCATGTTCTGGCTGCATTAGACTATGGTTCTCCAATTTGCAACCTCTGTACCGGGGCCTATTGCAAAGCAGACATGGTAACAAGAGAGTTTGCATATATTAACTCAGTTTAATCATGTCAATTCTTAAACAAAAAATTTCCTCCAAGAGACAACAGTTCACAGTAACTGCAAAGCTTACTCACTATTTTTAAAAACACCAGTCATGCTTAGCATTCAGGGGAAATACTGCAGAACAGCTGTAAAAACTTTCACTAGGAACATCAGCTTCTGATTTTAAAAATTACAAATACTGAAGCATTTTGGGGTCAGACACGGTAGTTTTGACATCGTCTGTTCATTTGATGAGTTTCTGGAAGATTGGAAAACGGTTCCTTTCTACTTGGATAAAGCGCTTACTCTAAACTAAACATTTTTCAAATGTAGAAAACAAACTAGCAAGCTACACATCCAAAGAGAAGCCCCCGGCCAGCTCCCATCCCGGAATGCCGGCAGGAGCACCACGGATCTGGAAGACAAATCAATGCGTACACTCGGCCTGGAGTCCCGCCTCCAGGCTCCGCGAGCAGCGGGCGCTCACCTACACGTTAATGACAAACTCTGGGTTAGTATAGGAGAAGCCGGCAAACTCATTTTGGTCCAAGTTCATGATGAAGAGTTTGTCCGTGGGCGTGAGTTCCACAGGCTGTCTGGTGAACTCTTTGTCGAAGTTGGAGGTGTCTCGCTTGTCTCTCTGCCAAATGGAAAGCAGACACGTTAACACAGCACAGAGGGCAATGTGACCGAGAGGTGCCAGCCACGGGGAGCTGACACCCTCTGGGGCGAGTGGGATGCCCCGCGGAGGGGCCACAGGGCACGTGCGACCGCCCGGCTTGCGTTTCACAGCCGTGCTGGCTTCAGGAGAGAAAGCTTGCAAGGTTTCTAAGGAAATGAGACATTGAATGTCTTTGAGGCCTGTCAGAAAGTGGGGTGTGCTCTGTTTTTGGCTTTGAGATGAATTGAGTTGGGAACTGCTTCTCACCAGGTGTGACGTCACAGAGTCGGTCGTTGGGTGGAGTGTCCCCTAGCACACCACCCCAAGCCACCCGTGGCCAGGATGGCCTTCCTGTAAGGAGAACAGCTGCACAAGCGCGCAGCTCCCCACAGCAGAGCGCCCACCTGTGGGGAAAGGCGGCCACTGCTTCGTGAAAGGAGGGACCGCACCCTCCCTCCCTCCCTCCCTGCGGCAGCCCAGGCGAGCCCCGGAAGCTCAGGAGCCCACCGCCGAGGCCAGGCCTGCAGCCCGAGGGCTCTCCCAGGTGACAGAGCCCACATCTAGTAACAAACTGTAAGAAACAAAACCCAAAGCTTAACATCAGGTCTGCAGGGGCAGCCTTACAACAAGCAAACTCTCTTCTCCAAGGGAATCTGGCATTTCTCGGAGTGGGGAGCAGGCAGTACCCCGGCTCGGGGCAGGTTTCGCCAGGGAAGGAGTGCGGGCTGACTCCCCACATCTGAGTCAGGCTCGGGCCTCTGTCAGCCGGCCCTCTCTTCTTGTCCTCACTACCCACGGGCAGGGGGAGCTGGAGTCCCCCCCACCCCCGCTGTGACCTGTGAGAAAACCAAGGCACGGGAAGGGGCGGTGACTTGCCCACGGCCACCCAGCGGGTGAGTGACGTTACCCGACCACACTGCTCCCGTGGGGCCTCGTCTCAGCCCCTCTGACCAGGGAGCAAGCCTGCGGGCTGGTTCATCACAGGACAACCAGGATGCCACGCGGCTCACTGGTGCGGGCAGGCTGAAGCCCGTGGTAAAGAGAGGGTCAGAGATGAGTGACTGGCTAGCGCTGCCTATCACCATCCAGGTTTTAGGTTCAGCCTCCAATGGGCACCGACTGACAAGGATCTCTCATTCCTGGGCTCATGCCCGTTTGCAAAAGGCTCTCTCAGGAACGTTCCTCCTCAGGCCGCTCCCCTGAGATAGGTAAGGCGTCCTCTCGGAGGTCCCCACCTCCTCTGGCCCTGTGTGTGAGTGAGAAACCCGGGTACACTCAGTGAGCGGAGCCCGAGTGGAGCGGGCGGAGGACGCCCATGGAGCTGTTCTCTGGATGGGCCTCTCCTGCCACGCCCGCCCCTCTGCTCTGTCCTGTCCTTCCTGTGTCCCGTCCTGCCTGTCCCGGCTCTGCCTGTGTCACACCTGTGTTCAGAGAAAAGCTCGAGTGCACCTCTTCCTTCACTGTGGCCGTGCACGCCCCTCTGGGCCCCACCCCCACACTTAGGAACCTTCTGATGACCTGCGTTGAACTTGCTGCAACCGGAAACTGACTTATTTGTGGCCTCTCTCCAGGAGGGCAGGGCCTGGCTGCTTCCTCACTATTGTGTTTCCAGGGCCACGAGTGGTCTCGGCACACGGCAGGCTGTCCACACTGGTGAATGGAGGCATCCACGAGTGGAGACCCCCCGAAGGAGGAGCCTCTTCACTTTCCCTCCTTATAGTTACTCCCCGGCCAGAGGCCTCACTCTGGAGCGAAACAATGGAACGTGTGGCCACTGAGCCTCTGGTCTCTCCCGTCCATTTTGAGCCCCAGGGTGAACTGAACTGTATTAGGCCCCTTCAAGGCCTGGGCTCCGTGGGTACGTGGGGCCCCGGTAAGTCTTGGACTAGAGGGCAGGCAGCTGCCTCCTGGCGGGGCTCCCCAGGTAACACTGACCCCACGCGCCCTTCCCTGCCTCGGCTTCCCGCAGCCCAAGGCTCCTTCCCCACCAGCCCAATTCTGAAAGCCCTTCCTCCTTGTGCTGGTGATGACTCGTGCTGCTCCAAACAGCCACAGGGTCCAAAAGGGGCTTCCATGATGCACTTTGTCCCAGAGGCAGATCTCCATCGACAATACCCCTGGGTGTCAGCCTAGAAGTTGGGAG